GCGTCCCCCTTATGGTCCCTATATCACTCTGTGACTCTACCCCAAAATCCTGTTCTAGTCGTGTAGGCCCTGTATTATCCGATTCAATCTTGCGGCCCGAAATCTTCAATCTAGAGACTTCAAGCTTTTGGCACTTGAATCAGCACCTCCTCTATGTGGGCGTAGAGTACTGGGGCATGAGGATGGGTTTTGACGAAAGGTTCCAGAATTCAGGGTGTTAGCGTTTTGGGTTTGGGTCTTTTGCTTTGTTGCAATATTATCATATCAACAGATCCCAAGCACAAGGAGCACCAAAGGGGGACTCTGATCTAGCACAGCGAGAAGCTTCCTAAGAATCCTTGGAGCCCCATTTGGGGTTGAGGGCTTGGTACGCTTCGGAACCGTAAACCTTGTGAAGCAAGCTGATGCCCTGCAACAGGGTTTTCTTCCTGATGCTGAAGATGCTCCGTCAGAATCTGCCACTGCAGTATCTCCGAAGACCCTTGGCAAGAGGGCAAGATCCTGCATCATGTCAGGGGTTTGTTTTGGATCGCATCGGTGTACACTGTCATACACTGTCATTGTTGGGATTGAGGCTACGCTGCATTGCTTCCGCTTGCTGTCTAGAACATGACACCACGAATCTGTTCGACTGAGTTTTCGTAGCTTCGTAGCTCGCCTTGGCCTTAACCCATCTTGGGCGTCGATGACCCTGCCACAATCGAATGCGGAGTTTCAGAAGATAGCCGTATGTAGGAGCCTCCCAACACTGTTTTGGGGGGGTCCTTGTTATGCTTATAGTATAATATACCCCAAAACCCTATTCTAATTATTCAGGCCCCTACATTAGGCCCTGTTCTTTCGACTTTGACCAGGAAGATCGTGCTTAGAAGGGCCCCGGTGCATCCTGAAACCCTTTCAAGTAAATTGTTGCTAGCCTTGTTTGGACCAGGCGACTTGTTAGCCGTTAACCTAAATCCTGATAACCTAACGTATGGCAGCTTGAATAATTCGCAGTATGATCCCCATTGTAGTTCCAGATGCTTGTCACCAAAGACCCAGTAGATGTATCAAGCCCCTATACTGGTGTTCTTTGTATGACGGGTGAGTCGGTAAGTCCGATCCCTGCTCCTGCAGTCTGACGTTCGTGTGAACTTCATGGGTCTCGTAAGACTGACATTGCTCTTGAGGGTTTGGGGGTGTGCGTAGGGTTTAGGGTTTAGGGTTTAGGTTGGGCTTTGGTCAGTAACCCTAGGCAGCCGAAGCTTGCCGCTAGTCCCAACATGTCAGCTTTGATTCTAGGATTTAGGGTTTCAAAAAAGGGAAGCAGGGAGGTTTAGGGTTCATTCAGAGTGACCAAAGAGCACGACTTCGGCCCTGGTACCACGAAGGTTGGCTGCTGAACTCTTGACTCTTAAATCCTACAGTTGTAGGGTTCAGGGATCCATTAATCCTAAACCCTGAAATGAAAGGGGCTCCAGAAAGATACAAAGTGCGTGCCTAGGCTGACAGCACAGATAATTGCCGGCATGGGTTCGAGTTTGGGGTGTAGCCAACATGACGACTCACTCAGCAACCTCGCAAGAAACCGCACACCAGATAGATAAACCTAATCCCAGCCCCGCTACACAGACCCCTAAACCCCATATTTCCTAAACCTGGTTACCATGCAGTCGGAAAAAGGTGTCAAAACAAGTCCTAAACCTGAACCATAAAAACTTGCAGGATTCTTCCAAGAGCAAGAAACGCAGCTGTACGTGAACATCCGTCTCCGGGGTACCTCCGGCTCGACCTGGATCACCGTGAAGCACCTCGCTACAGAAGTGTGGGGGGGGCGGGGGTTATCCTCAGGGCCGTAACTATAACCTCCATATCGCAAGTTCCTTGCGGGCTGCACGGTTTGGGAGAGGGTTAGGATAGAATTCTAGTCTTATGATTCTGGATGACCCTACCTGTAATCACACTTCCGACTGCCAACCCCCTCGGCACTTGCATCGAAGTTTCCCGGGTGTCGGGCGTGTTTCAGTGTTGAGGGTTGCAAGCTTCAAGATTGCAGACTGGTTTCCTCGGGTGGCCAACTGGGATTGACTCTGTTCCATGGGCCGACACACTCAACCCTAAACCCCTGAACACTTTTCTGGTGCAGCTGGAGAAAGGGCCCGGTTAAAAAACAAAACTAAACACTACCCTAAACCCTAAATCCTAAACGACCGTTCAGCTCTCGTGGCAGCAAAGGCTCGCAGTCATCATGCTGGGCTGGGGCCACTGGATTGGCTGCTTGGATGCAAAAGTAGAAAATGGATATGGCTGCTTTGTTTGGTTTACCGAATCATGGCCTTCCAGCTATAGTATTTCTGACAGGAATTGTTGCACCTTCAACACCAAAGTCGTGGCGCTTCTGATTGTCAGGACTATATTTCGATTATCTAGACCACTGCAGCTGCCTTTGCTTCAGCTACTGCTGCTGCTATTGCGAATGCTGCTGTCACAAAGACGAGAACGACTACTACGACTAAGACTGATTACGACCCCGACTTTTTCCTACCGCTCCTGCTGCCGTTGTTGCTGCTACTGCTGCCAAGCTACCTTTGCTGCCAAATCGAGTAATTATGAGACACCTCGAAAACACTGAATGCGTAGGAGCTCACCATGTAGCTTGTCTGTGGTGGGGGCAATCTGTTTGACCCTGAAAGCAAAGCGCACTCGTAGAAATTTTACTGCGCCTGGTTGCCAGCAACGCATATACCCTAAGGGTCCATGTACCCAGATAGTATGTACATTGGCCCTAAAGTACCTATATAGGGACTACACTAAGGCCAAAGCATATACTATTTGCGTACATTGACCCTTAGGGATACCCTGAACCCTGATGCATAAGCCTGCGTAGACCTCGATAGACTGAATCCCCGGGCAACCGCCCATCTTCCTCTTCCAACCGTATGGCTCCAAGTATGCAAATAGTGCCTACCTGTAGTCTCCATTGTAGTTCCTTTTTGGGGATACCTTATAAAATCCTTAGTATATCATTGGTTAAACCAAAACAAGGAACTACAATGGAGACTATAGGTACTTTGGGGCCTTGGGCCTATAAAACAGACCCTAAAGCCCAAACCGTAAACCCGTAAACCTGTTGCCGCTGTCAGTCCCCAGTCCCAGTTAGTCTCACCCTGCCACGCCCCGCTTGGATCGTCCGAGTTGTAAGCGCCGAAACTCTCAACCCGAGACTTCGCGGCAAAAACCCTAAAGCCCAAACTCTAAACCCTAAGCCCTAAACCCTGAACCCTGAGACTTTATAGAACCCTTGTAGAATTGCAGAACCCTTTAAAGAAACCCTAAGCCCTTTAGAACCCTTCAAAGGAGCCCTAAACCGTTTGTAGAAGCCTTTAAAAGGAACCCTCAATAACCCCAAAGCCCTAAACCTAAAACCCTAAACCCTAAAAAAAGCGCTAAAACCCTAAAACCTATAAGCCCTAAAACCTCAAAGCCCTAAAACCCTAAAGCCTTGAAACCCCAAACGCCAGGCTGTCTCAGCCTGGCCTTGGCTACGCTGGGCGCATCTTCCATTGGCAACTACCAGGCGATGTTTTTTTCCTTTGGGGGGGAGGGGTAGTTAGGGGTTTGGGGGCTAGGGTTTAGGGGTTTGGGGGTTTAGGGGTTCGGGTTTTGGGGTTCAGGGGTTTAGGGGTTCAGAAAAAGGGGTTTTGAGATTTTGGGGTTTAGGGTTTTTGGGTTCGTTTGGGGTTCAGAAAAAGTTTTGTTGTTTGGCCTCCCCCTCCCCCCGCCACCGCGACTCCACACGCACATGCTGTCTCCCCGTGGCAGCTCGGCAAAGGCATGGCAGTTTATACACTCCGTGAGTCTTACCACATTCGTGTGGACATCTTAGAAGGTCGTTGCCTGGCTGTTGCTAATTAGTATATAACTTCTGTGCTTCGCTAGTTTAAGAACTGACTTAGTCAACTGAGTCAGTTATCTGTAGGAACTGAAACGAAGGTATGTGATCCTATGAAACTACTCCACATGAGAACACGGGCCCCACAGCGTTCCTTTCTGCAGAAGAAAGGGGTTTGGGGATTTTGGGGTTCATGCTCGAGGATGTTGTGCTCTCCCAGGTCGAAACCCAGTTGTATGACGTAGCAAGCAAAATGTACGCCAACCGCGGTAGAGTGTAGGTTTTGGGGTTTCGGGTTTTGGGGTATTGGGGTTTAGGGTCTAGGGTTTAGGGTAGTCTAAACTAGGGTCCCTTCTGGGTTCCTTTCTCGTAAGGTGGTTGAGGTTCAGGATGCAGCGTACGGTCTAGGGTGTAGCGTCTAGGGCTTAGAGGGCAAGCCCTCAACCCTAAAGCCAAAACCCTAAACCTAGGGTTTAGGAGGCTCCGTACAACGAGGCCTGTTGCAAAAGGAGACGGAGCCTTCAGGTTGGACCCTTTTGGCTCTGGATCATCTACCACACCCTACAGTAAGGGTCCCTGTCCTCTTGCAGTGTAGACATTGGCCTTCTAAGTAGTCCCTATATAGGGTTTAGGGTTTAGGGTTTCAAGCAGTCGGTGCATTTTTGGGGGGGCCAAAGTATAGGCTATTTCGGTAATTTGGGTACATGCACTCCTAGGGAGATTGAAAACCACTGTGTTCTCTGGTTGGCCACAGCGCTTCCTTGGCGCTTGGGCTTGGGTTGGGGGCTACAGTTTGCCACAGGCTCAGAGCTTTCTGCGCTTTGGATTAATGTTGAGGGTTTAGGGTTAGCCAGTGCCACCAAAGATGTCACTGTCCAGATTCTAGATCCCCATTCCCAAGACCTGAACCCCATAATCCCCGCGCAGGCCCTAAACCCTACACTCCTTGGACCAGCAACACCAACACCCTAGGCCCTGGGCCCTAAACCCTTCAGTCTCTAGAGCTAGAACCTCAAACGTAAACCCCCAAATCCCAAAGCCCTAAACCTGAATTAAAGCCCACCCCCTATTACCCTTTGCACACCCCTTCCAGGCGAGTACGTTCGATCTTTTCTGGTCTAACAACCGCATGGACCAGGACATCTTCGGATCTGTGCTGGGTTCTTGTGAAGGTTCTAGGTTAAGCTACGATGTTGGGGGTCTATAGTACGGTGTCGAGTTTAGGGAAGAGGTTTGGGGGTCCCTTTCCTGGTAGATGAAATCAATCTCCCGAACGAGAACCCAGTCCGTGAATCGACGAGTTCCAGAAGGTGTTTATGGGCTTGGTTGGGAAGGACTGTGCGCAGTCTGATCGGGTTTGCATTGTAGGTGCAAGGTCTGTTGAATTTGTAGGTGTTTGGGTAGGGTCTTATGGTCTTATGGATTTGCACAGGGGGGTTACGGCTCAACGGTGGGTCCAAGAAGCTGCTTAGCTGCTATGCTGTCGGTTTTGAGGCTGCAAGTACAGACATCTTTCGTGTTCAGTGCGTAACCGCCAGCCTTCTCGTGTTCTATGTTCTAGAGTCCTCATCCACATGAGATAGCCTTGAGAAGGTCGGACAGGTAAGATTTGCACTTGAAGCACTGTGTGACCTAACTATATAACTATAAGCTTCCGAGCTGCTTAGCTCTGAGCCCTTAAAACCCTAAAGCACCAAACTCTATAGTACCCTGATAGACCCCCTTAAGACTCCCAACACATCGAATTCGCCCCCGGGTGTCCGAGTTCCTGAAACTTTGCTCGCGCATCTACGAATAAGAACTTCAAGGTTTTCTGTTTAGGGCTTAGGGTTAGGGTTTAGGGGCTATCGTTCGGTTCAGCTGTCCCTGGCAGCCTCCGCGTTCATACCGTCACCACCTGCTAAAAGGTTTAGAGTAAGTCTTGTTTTGGGTTTGCTCCGTCCTGTTGAAATCATGACCTTGGCCGCCTTGCCTTTCCCGCCCTACAGCCACAGAACCGCTGAACATTTCCTTTCCCTAACCTATAACATAGGGGCCTCGATAATTACCTACATTATTTTGGTGGTCCCTTCTTATGCTTCGTTATACTATAAAGGACTCCCAAACCCTATTCTAATTTTCAAGGCCTCTACATATAGTGGCGGCAAGGTACCTGTTGGGTTCCATGAAAGTCGTCAAGAGCTGTGGTGCCCGACTTACCAGGAGCAACAGGAGCAGCGAGAATGGTGGGGCGAGTATATGGCTGCATACTACCGGGCCTTTAACCTGAACCTTGATGGATCGCTGCCTCAGAGGGAGGGAGAAGTGGTCGCAGCCATCCTGGCGACTTTGCTCCAAGGATTGCTGTCAGGGCTACAGGGTGTGTGGTTTATAAGGGTTACTCTACGGGCTTCTATGAGGGATTCATGTTTGACAGAGGGCCATTTCGATTGTCGATTTGATGAGCCCCTTTGGGTCAACGCTTGGGCAGGTAGGTCTCTTCACACTCCCCTGAGCTGGAAGCAGGGGCTAATCAATCCAACCAGTTCCTAACTGGAAGGTGATCGTGGGCCTCTTGGTGATGAAGTCCTACGTGATCGGCTCCTTCTTTAAGCTCCAGCAATCGCAAAAGGCGCTGGAAATGGAAGTATCCAGTCTCATGGACGCTTACCTTGCAAACTAAACCCTAAACTCTAAACCCTCAACCCTAAACCCTAAATGGTTCACAGGACACAGGGGCTGCAGGGTTTTCGGCAGCAAAGGTCACGGTTCAGGATTGAGGATCCAGGGTCTTTTTCGGGGCTTCAAGGTCGAGAGCTTTTTTTGGTTTAGGGGTTGGTATACTCGAACAACCAACAAATGTGTAATATAATTGTCGTTTGTTGTGACATGTATATATATATATATACTTGCGAAGGACACAGTCTTTGTCATTTCAGTTGCTTAGACGTTAATGCTCATACTCCCGTTACAGTCGCTGACTATATTTCAACGAACTTTCACGGCATGATAGTGGCATTCGATGTTCACATTGCCTCTCTCACAAGTCCCACAGTGGTGTTGCGTTTTTTCAGGGTATGCTTGTCGTTGCAGAAAGACACTTGATGTCTTGCATTTCTCACCCTTGTTGCATACATCAAGCAATCTGTGAACCTGGATGTTAGGATGCCTGGCACAGCAGCAATGCAAGCACCAGCACCGTCAGCATTCACGATAACAGCAACGATGACCCCCGGAACGAAGACAGCGGCCACCGACCCCTCTAACTTTTTATGCCGAGAGTTACCGTCCAATATCATGAAACGGTCATGAAGTTGTCGTGCGCATCTTTCCTCAAATCGGCCGCGGCTTGGTGTTTCTGTATTCACTTGCTTCCGTGCTTTAGCTGACCGACCAAACACCCTCAAAGGGCTTTCCCACTCGAAGGCCAGTGGGTAGACACAAGTTGGAGTACAAGCACGGAGACCATGTTAAGAAGTAGCTAGTCTTTGCTTCACATATTGAGAGCCCTATTCCCACCAACACTATCTAAAAGCCGCTCTTGTAGGGGTTTCATCTGAGCAATACGACAGAAGCCTAAATAGCTACCCACATTATTTCTTAGGGCCTTAGGGTTCCTTATTATAGTTATACTGTTATACTTTATGGTAACCCCCAAACCTGCTCGAATTAGTAAGGCCCCCATGTTACACGTTCCGCCCTTGAACCCTGGACCGCAGGAGACAAACGACAAACCAGCAAAAGCCGTAAACCCTAAGAACCCTCTTACTGCCCTACCTGACGGCCATCCGTGCTGGGTGATACGGGCCAAGTGCGAAATTTATGAGTCGTTGAACCAGTATCGCTACACAGACCTTGCCCGGCTTGTCCGAGTGTGAGTGTCAAAATAAACCATCCTAGGGTTTAGGCTTTAGGAACTAGACCCAGAGAAAAAACTTAGCCTAAACCCTTGAGCCCCACGGTACCCTCATAGATCCCTTGCAGGGGCCCTTTCAAGAACTGAGAGCCCAAAACCCTAAACCCTACAAACCCTTAACCCTCAACCCCTTACCAGACGGCCGAAATCCGAGGATAAGGCCGAGGTGGTTTGTACAACGCTCGACCTTCCTCCGAGCATCCGCAACTTGTTTCCTGAAGTCCGATGGGGTTTAGGTTTAGGGTTTAGGGTTTAGGAACGAGTCAGCTGTCCTGGCGTGACGTTGCAAGCCAGTTGCAAAGGGTCCCAGATGCAATGATCTGGAAGTGCTGCTCCCCATCTGATTGGCAGAGTCTGGGTTCCAAAAACAGGGTTTAGGGTTTAGGGCTTATGGTCGCCATGGTACTGTAGTTCCTTTTTTGAGTTACCTTTATAGGATCCCAAACCTACAATGAGCTAAACCAAAAGAAGTGCAAGAAGTACAATGGAGGCTGTAGGTAGTCCGGTAAGGTTTGCCTAACCCCCCCAAAAAAAAGCCTACCTTTTTCAGGGATCCTTATTAGGACTTCCTTTTATACGTCGGGATAGCGGTAGGTTCTTGCTTGTTATTTAGAGGCTTACGGGTTTAGGGTTTCAATTTGTAAGGATTCTGGGTTTAGGGTTTATAGGATGGTAACCTTTGAAGTGATAACGAATAGATCATTAAAGGGATCTATGTTGTATGATATCGTATGCGAGGATTCTATGCCTGGGTTCAAAGCAAAGCGTAGGCTCGTGGCCAAAAGTCTGATGTAATGTTGACTTCAGTTTCAGGGTTTAATGTAGGGGCCTAAATAATAACCTGTACTTTGGGGGGTTCCTTATTCTAATTATAGTATACTGGGCCCCAAAACCTTGTTCAAATTCTTCAGGCCCCCTATATTCGGGGCTCATAGGTTTTTCCACTGCCTTCTAGGGTTCAAGCTTGGGGCTTCGCAATCAGAACAGGGCTTCGCTGAATTTTATGTTCTCGCTCTCGCATTTAACTATGTTTCTAGATTGGCTACAAATGCGACGCTTCTGCTTGTTATTCGGACCTCTATACCACTGTTCTTGGAGAGCTTGTCTATGGTTAGAAATACAAGAAGACAAAAAACAGTGATAGGATCGCGGGTTCAGGTGGTTTCTCAGCCTTTAGGCTTTCAACTCTTGCCTAGTAGTGCTCTCAGCCTTAAGGCTTTCAACTCTTGCCTAGTAGTGCACTTCCAAGGTGAATATGACAGGCTCATATTTGCGTTATCTAAGTTGGTGATTTCTTTTTGTGTTTGGCCTTGTTCGGAGAACGGGTGCGACACGTCCAGGCGGGATTAACGCAAGCCTGTGCAAAAAATGGCTTTCAACTCTTATGGGTTTGGTAGGTTTTTGGGTTTCAATGGAGTACACTAGCCCCTTAAACCCTAAACAACCACGCTAATATAGGGGCCTAAACAATTACCAATACTATTTTGGGGGCTCCTTGTTTTTCCTATATTAGTTATACTGTGCCCCAAAACCTTATTCTAATTATTAGGGCCCCTATATTATAGGTTTTGGGATCTATGTCGAGGTTCTCTCCTTGGCGCCACCCATTCTAGCAGGGGCAGAAAACCTGGGATCCCTTCTAGGGGTCCTTGCAGTTAAGCGCTTCATAATTAGGGTTTTGTTGCGGGGTCCCCGCATGTTGTGCTATGCTATAATTTTCGTTCTCGACATTGGTTTTGTTGTATGCGCTCTCACAGAACAGAAGCTGAATACCCTGTTCTTTGGAGTCTAAATTGAATCCTGGCCGTCCTAACCTCTGCAACCCGAAATCCCAAACCTTCAACCCTCTGTCCTTACTTTATTTATTTATTCAAAGAAGGGCTTGGTTACATGATGTTCCAACCTTGTGGTTGTGTGTTAAGTGCTTTCCTGGATGCCTTGGCCTAAACCCGAAAACCCTAAGCCCTGCCCTAAACACTGAAGCAAGGCAAGTCTATTCGGCAGTATTGCCTATTCCAATGGTCGAAAGCCCGGGATGTCGGCAACAGGGATGTGGCTCGGCTTTTCTACGGGGAAGGTTTGGGGTGTACCTTCAGAACCCAAAACCCACTGTTTTTGTAGGTTCTTATCATAAACC